ATAGGTGGGGATTTTGGGAGGTGATTGGAACATGGGGCGTGACACTCACCAGCCAATTAGTCTACTGTTGAGGTAGTAGCTGAATGTGATGTTGGGCCGTGAAGCCCTGGTGGAGGAGGTGGTCACTGGATCTGTCTCCTCCGCACTCCTCCCTTGATCTAGCTCTCTGCTTCCTGCTGCTACACCATAAGCAGGCCTCCTCCACCATGTCCCTCTCCCATGCCACCCTGCCTTGAACTCAGCTGGCCACGATCTGAAACCTCCACAAGCCAAGCCAAAATAAACCTCTCCGTTTTTAGCTGGTAGGTGTTGGGTATTTTGTCCCAGTAAGGATAAAGTAACTAAGACAGACCTCTCTCTGGTCAAGGTGGCCCACCAAGCTTGCACATTCAAGATGGCATGTAGAAGTGCTGTACCAGTGGCAGCCTGTGAAGAGACAGCCAGGCCATCCATGGCAGAGGCACAAGGTGGGACTGGAGGACAGGAAGCGACCCACAGAGGTGGCCACTCCTCAAGGTCATGTGGCTCTTCCACACTTGTAAGCAGGCCTGTATGACTGCAAGCCCGGGTGCCTCCTATAATTCAGATGAGTTCCCAAGAAGATATTTGGTTTTGTGGAACTTAAGCATGACTTTATTACCCTGGCAATTAGATGAGGATCTGGTATTGATTTTGCACTATATCAGAAGCGCAGCATTCCCCGACCACTCTGCTTCTATCTGAGGGCATGAATCTTTCCCCCATTAACCTCCAAAATGGCTTTGGAAATAAATACACTGAATCTCAGGCTCAGCGACAGTGCTATTAAGCAGAAGCACCAAGTGAGCTAGATGGGTCGTTTTAAAATTTTAGTAGCCACATTAAAAAAGAAAAAAGAAGTGAAATTAATTTTCATAATCTATTTTATTCAACTCACTGGCTCTAAATTACTTGTATTATCTATCATTTCAACGTGTAATCAGCACAACATGATTGCTGAGCTATTTTGTGTTCTCTTTGCTTTGTTCTGTCCTAGTGCCTCCAAACTTCGGTGTGCGATTTACATATGTGGACACTTCTCATATCAGACCAGCCACACTCCCTGGGCTAGAAGATCACTTTGCTCCTGTGAACCGAAGGAGTTAATCTGGGAAAGGACAACCACTGCACTACTCCTCGGGATGAGATGGAGCAGGGAAGATTCTATTTACTTTCCTGACATTAAGACTTCAGTCTATATTATTTCTGTCTGAAATAAACAAAATGTCAAATTGACAAAGTTCATGCCCAGAAGTGGTAAGAACAGTAATTTAAAGACAAAACCAAGCCAGACATGAATTTAATACTTCAAGGTCTGCTTCAAGGTTTGAGAAGCAAACCTTTTCATTTTGAAAGTAGAAAAAAATAAGTTTTATACATTTACACGTTATACTACACAGTGAGCAATATACAGACAACCCTAAAACTGAGTTACAAACTAGGTATCCTATACCAGCTGAATTAAAATGTAAATCTGTTTGCTTTTACTTCTATAACAATTATGTAGTTTTTATTTTCATAGGTTTGTATTTCACACAAGCTACCTATGTAATTTATATAAGGTTCAGTAAGACTTTTGGCAGGGATAGGGGTTAAAATACAACTATTAAAAACACAGAATTCAAGGATGGGTCTGAATCAAATTCCAGCTTTACTACTTGCTGTGAGTAACTTTGAGCCAGTAACTTAACTCTTTAAGCTTCAGTTTTATCATTTTCATAAAGGCTATAATAACACTTATTTTTGGTTACAGTAAGAAATAAGTAAACTAGGATATGTTGGAAACTTGGCACACTAGCTGGTACATGATTAGCAGAACTCTCACTATTAATGAACAAAATCTAATAATAACACAACCTCTAGAATATAAACCCTGACTTCTACATTTCTCAGAGTTAAGAAAGTCATGTACAGAACCACAAATTACTGTGCATAACACTGAACTCCACCGTGTTCAGAAATGTATCAGTAAAAGGGACATTTCCCCTTCAAAGCTAGGAAAATTGTTCATGAAAATCCACAGGCTCAAAGAAACCTGGCTGGAGAGGTGCTGAGGTTTTGTTCTTTTGTCTCTTAATCCTTACTTTGTGACCTGATTCCCTCAACAGCTGAAATTAGTACTTTAATTTCCATATTATCTCCTTTGTATTAGAGATGAATAATGTGCTGGAATAAAGAAGAGGATCTGAGGGAAAATACAAGATGAAAAAAAAAAGTATTATGTTTCTTCCTGAACAGCTTTTACCCTGCGCCGACTTATCACTGTCCAAGGAGCACAGTGCCATGCTCTCCACACCAGGTCCAGTGGCAGACGGTGTCCCTTGGCGGGTCACAGGTCCTCTCACATGCACCTCCTCCGGTTCTCCTGCCATGTCTTTTTTTCCACTGCCCACTTGAAGTACTTGACTTGGTTTAGGCACAACTGTTTCTGAATAAAAATGCTATCATTTGCATGATCCTAATAATGATAGTAGGTGGAATTTTTCAAATGCTGCCTATGGGCCAAGCATTGGGCTAAGTATTTCACATGCTTGATTCATTTATGCAACCTCATAAAATGGCCTTCAGATAAAGAGATTGAAACAGATGCTTAATAATTTTCCCCAGATCAATAAGTATGGAAGTCAGGGTTCCAAGAAACAATTTGACACTAGTGCCCACACCCAAAGAGGTCCAACACATGTATAACCTTCCACCCCATCTGCAGGTTCTACTTTCAAAGCATGTGCCCTGTTCACTCGCTTTCCTTGTCTGCACCCTCATCTAAGCTGCCATTGGCTGTGGTCTGGGGATCCGCAGTGGTGTCCAGCTGGTGTCTTCTCCTTCCCTCACCCCCAACAACTGACACTCCATAGGACAGCTATGTATGAATGACAGGATATGTCGGGCTTGGATCTGATTTTGCTGCAATGCACAAAGCATTCAGATGGCCTCTCCATTCCTCTTAGGGTAAGTCAAAGTCCCTACTATAGTCTTTGAAACTGCATCTTGTCTGAGCATGGTTGATGTCCTCTCCGCAGCCCTTCCTCCTCTTGTCATTCGTCACACTATTTTTTTTTCTTTTCCTCATGGATGTCAAGCTCATCATTTAGGGCTTTGGCACTGACTTTTCCCTTTATTTGACACCTTCATCCCTTTTATCCTCACATAGAATATTTCTCGACATTCAGATAAAAAAAAGTAATGTCACCTTTTGAAGGAGACTTTCCGATCTTCCAAGCTAAAGCTGTCCACTTTCTTCCCTATGACTCCATTTGCTCTCATAACCTCATTAGGATTTATATCTAAGATGTTCCTCAGAACTGTCATTTGTTCAGAGGTAGAGTTTTGAAAGGTGATTGGATCATAGGGATTTTATACTCGTCATTGGTCCACTGATGAATACATAGCTAAATGTGCAAGTAAGAAGTGAGGCTTGGTTGGAAGAGGCAGGTCACAGGTCCCTGGGCACGTGACTTAGAAAGGTGTATTCTTGTTTCCTCCCCTGCTCCTCCACTCTCTCTTTCAGTTTCCTGGCTGCCGCGAGTGGAACAGCTTTCCTCTATCACACCTTCTGCCATAATATTTTGTTCTTGAGCTAGCCAACCATGAACTGAATGCCCCAAACCATGAACCAAACTACAACTCTCCTTTAAATTGTGGGGGTCAGGTATTTTATTCTAGTGCAGAAAAACTGACTAATACACACCTTGTTTCATTTTCTTCTTAACACTTTTCTCAATACAAAAATATTCATCCCCTTTCTATTAACTTCCTTGTTGTCTGCCTCCCTTCCAATATCAGGGAAATGTACAGCACTGTACATTAGAGATCTTGTCTGTTGTAGTCACTGCTTCTTCTGCTGAGCCTAGAACATGACCTGACACAAAATGGGCATTTACACATAAAATTTTATCAAATAAAGATATAAATGGATCAGTTAATTAATGCATGACAGAATAGCCTCCTTTCAACACATATTTTGCTGAATTTCTCTTAAGATCAATAAGATAGTTAGCAGGCAATGTTATATAACAGGAAAGACACACAAAGAAGCTATAACCAACTTCGCAAAGAAACAAGTAACCAGGGAATATGTGGTTTAGCTCTTGAAATTTTTCCCATGCGACCTATTGTTTCTCTGCCTGTGGTAGCTTTTCATTTTTTGTTCACCTCTTTAACTTTCTTGAGCAAAAATGTTTGGGACCTTATATATACCAAATACTGTACTATATGCTTGGGTACATAAATAAATAAAGAACTCTAAAAATGGCTTTATCTGATCATACAAATAATAATGATACAAATACTCTCCTCATGATTTGTGGAAAGAATTTCTGAACAACGGAATATTCAGCAATCATTAAGGAAAACCTATACGGCTGGCACCATAGTCCACTCGGCTGTTTGGGAGGCAGAAGCAGGTGGGCCATTTGAGCCCAGAGTTCAGCACTAGCCTCCACAACATAGTGAAACCCATCTTTAAGAAGACTATGGAATTTAAAATTTTAATAGCGGGGAGAAATAGTAATATTCTATAGCTTTTAAAGAAGAGTGTGATGTATCTTGAATATATGAAATACTTTGAAAAGGACTAGTATTTTTAGTGAGGGAAATCACTAACAGTATTTGCTTCCTGTTTGTATAATTAGAAACCTCTTTCCCCTCCTTCTTGTTTAAAGTTAGCTTATGTTCAGTTGTGCTTCAAAAACAAATCATTCCTAGACCACTCTCATCTTCACATCCACCTTGGTGGGGTGGGACACAGCTCTGTCCCACATTCTGTTCTCTCCTACCCAGGTTAGTGGGTTGAGTCTCCGTTTGGGACACTCTGGTCTCACGATAGAAGCAGGCAAAGGATTTGTCTTGAAAGTGGCACACTTCCCTTCCCCCCCATCTCATGTGTCTACACAGCCACACAAGGATGCCCTGTGGAGGAACTACATGCCCCCTGTAGAGAAAGACCCCAAATGTTTAACAAATAAAGAATTCACCTCCGGCCATTCTGTATTTCCAATTTATTCCTGCAATTTGTATACAGTTTTATTGATAGAAAAGTCAGCGACATGTGGATTTTTACAAAATTGTAATTTTCTTTATCCTTAGAAATGCATTTAGCTGTAAATAACAGAAAATTTGACTTTCAGTGGCTTAAAAAATTAAGACTTGCTGGAGCATGATGACACATGCTCAGAACCTCAGCTACTTGGGAGATTGAGGTAGGAGGATCACAAGTTCAAGGTCAGCACTGCCACATGTCTCACTCCTCTGTGGAAAGGAAGAGGAAACTGAGGTAAGCAAAGTAGACAGTCTCACCCGTCTCTTCATTGGGAAAGCAAGTTTTCCCCATGCAGTCCCCCAGCAGACTTCTCCTGCATGCATCCTGTTGGCAACACCCTCATTTAATGGAGCTTGGGAGAGCAGACTGTTGTCATTGGGATAGAGCAATCATCACCTTTTCGGTAGCTTCACCTGCTGGGGTGTGAAACAAGTCAGGGCTACATTAGAAAAGAGGAGTCAGGACAGGATGTTGGCTATGTGTGAGTCTCAGAAGCCAACAGTGAGTGCCATGAATTCTGACAGTGAATTTGGTGGACATTCTAGCTGGCCCTAGGAAGATAACGAGATTGTGCTCTGTCTCAGTCACTTTCTTATTGCTGAGACAAAGTACCTGACACCCACAGCTTGAAGGAGGAGAGGTTTATCTTGGCTCATGGTTCAGTCCATGGGCAGCTGGCTCCCAGGGAAGAACAAGATGGCGGAGGACCATGGAGGAAGAGAAAAGGACTCAACCCATGGCAGCCAGGAAGCAGAGAGAGAAAGGAGAAGAAATGGGGACCAGAGCACACTGCCCAGGTCATGTCCCCAGCAACCACCTCCAAGCAGGCCCACCTCCTCACAGCACATCTAGTTAGGAACTCATCCATGGATGAATCCACTGCATGGTACAATGCCCCCATGATCCCACCCCCTCCCATGCTCATAAGACTTTGGGGGCCATTTTAGATCTATACTGTAACATGCCCTGCAAACAGGAGTGGCATTTTCCACAATATGAGACCCCAAGAGCCATAGAAGGTAGTTTAAGAAATGCTAACTAGTTAGTCTGATATAACGATAGTGTATACTATTCTACTGTTGAGAGGGAGGTGAAGCTGGGAAGAAGGCATAGAGTCAGATGATGGATTAAAAATACCTTTATTCCCGTTATTTCATTTTCTTTTCACACATACATAATGTATGTGCTGAAGTTTTCCCCCATTTTATAGATGGACAGGCCATCTATAAAGTGACCCATTGAAAGTCACATAGCTAATGAGGAATAGCATTCGGATTGAACTTGATCTTCACTGTAGAGCCCTGGACTCAGGCTGCCTGGAGTCTATACCCTTTGCCCACACTCTTACACCTGGATCCCACCCCATTTTCTCACGCACTGACCCCACCCCCCAGGAAGTACATTGTAACCACCATCCAAAAACTAAAAACTACTGTAGCAGAGAACACATGCATGTGGAGAAAGATGTGAGGTAAGAAGGGTCTGGAATACTGAGACTGAATTTGCCAAGAAGATGCTTCTTGCTGTTTGCACCTTTCAAATTAGAGCACAAGGGAGACTTCCCTGGAAAGATCTGCTCCTCCCCTCATTAGTCTGTTACCTGAGGCAAGCAAGAAAGCCCAGAAACCCGTGGCTGGGTGGTCGCCCATCCACTGGCTGAGAAGAGGTGAGCTGAGCAAGAGGGCTTCCCAGACACATCCTTCACAAGCCAGCCCAGCCGCTGAGAGGGCGCTGCCTGAGAACTCGTGAATACTGGCAACCCATCTGCTAGAGCTTTACTTTTCATACCTGCTTTCACTTCCAGCATTCAAAGGACCTTACAGTTGCATGGTCCTCTATTTGACGTAGACTACAGCAATAGTTCTTCAGCTTTCACTTTCTTCACGATATTCAGAAGATTTCTGTATAAAAAGTACAGTTTCTTCTGTTATGACATTTTTTATAAAGTCATAGATACATCATAAAAAGGCATAAAACAATAAATGCATGGATATTCTTGTTTTACTTCTAAAGCATTAACAGTCCCTGTGTTCTGCAACTTTATTTCAGTATGGCTTAAGCCAATGTTTCCTAATTGGGCTCTGTTCTGTAGATGAATTCTTTATCATGCTAGACCGTCCCATGGGGCACTTGGTGCCCTAGTCAGCACTAGCACCCCTACATCATTTGAACAGTAATTTCTATTAAAAATTCCCACATTCATTTCACACACTTCTGCCATGGGTATTGTTTCTTCTTTCTCTACTCTATTGAGAAACACTTGTTGAAGAGATAGAGTTAGGGGTTGGCTCTAGCTTTCCATTCATAGGAAATCAATCAAGTTTCATGTCTGAAAATGGATATTTGTATCTACTCTATTTGCATAGATCAAATGAAATATGCAAGGCTCAATTCCCAATACACACACAAGGAGATAAGCCCTTCCCAGGGAATAACTAGATTGAACCAAACAGCACACAGTAACTGTTGGCCCCTCCTTCCCTGGGAAGTGTTCAGATGAATGTTGTTCATTCACTGCTCCACTGTAGTTGGTCTGTTCTGGCTCCTATTCATTTAAGAAAGTAGATACCTTGAGGAAATGTTTTTGCAAATGACGTACAGCTCTACGGTTGGTGTAAACTAGAATACTGGAAAAAGAATCATGGGACAGAGGGGGAAAGCCCATTCTGGAAAAGATGAGAATTGCAGTCAGTCATTTCGTAAAGTCTGTTTCCTTCACTTACAGACCCACGGATTGGAAAACTGATTCATATTTGGAAAATTATCTTTCAGGATATCATGTTCCCCTCTGTGAATGGGAAGCTAAATCACAAAATCCAAAACAATCATTCAGTTTCTAAAGTTCTACAAAGCATGTAGGATGGGATCTATTGATCTCTAGCATTTAAAAAGTTAGTGGCTCCGAGTTATGCTGACCTACAGTGTTCTCTTATGCTTTGTGAGGCACTCATAACTGGAACCCAGATGTGGCTACCATCCACATACCTGTATCTGCAGACTCCAGGCAAGCAGACTTTTTTCCACAGAGACTAAACAAGTGTGTGGAAGCATTTACAAAAATCCAGCTGCTTTCCAAAAGCAATGAAAATAAAGAAGGAGAGAAAGGGATATCTAAATGCCTTATTGGGTATAGTAATCTTACTTTCAATTTCAGTTTTGCATAAAATTATTCTAGGAACAGAGCTATTTCCTTAATTTAAAAGGTTCACTCAGCTGGATATTCTTGTCACCCTCCCAAGGCACTCACCATCTTGCTCTAGACCCCAGGAGGCAAAACTTTGTAGGTGGTCAGCTGAGCTTTTGGCTTTGGGCTTCCAATTGGGTTTGCTCAGCAAGAGAGACACAAGAGGTTGGGTATGGCTTGAGTGTGTTTCCCAAAGACCCAAGTTCTGCCAGCATGGCCTCCAGGGTGGCGATATTGAGAAGTTATGGAACCTTGAGGAAATGGAGCCTACCCAGGAACATGCTGTTCAGCTTCAAGAACTCTGAGCTGCACGAACCTCTTTTCTTTATAAAGTATCCAGCATCAGGACTTTTGTTATAACAGAAGAAAAGGGAGTGGGGCTGGTAAACCAGAGGGAGGTGAGAGAGAAATATTTCTTTTTCTTTCGTACACAGCATCCTTCTCTTATGCCTGATTCTAGCTCGTAACTATTCCAGATTCAGTAACTAATTTTTTCCTTGACTTTCTGGGCCTGGTGGTAGGAATCTTTTCTACTGTTGTTATCTCTGAAACACTGGACCACTCATTTTGGTTTCCCTAAATCCTGATGTCAGTTCTTTATTAAGGACCTCACAATTAGCCCATGTTGAGGCTGCTCTCTCTTTCCTACTGGAACTGTGACTGGCATATTCACCTTTTGAAATGGGCTAGAGTCACCTCATAACCACACTGTCAACTGTGGTGTCCTGCACTGGCTGGGAGTTCAGATGCTTGGACCAAGTCACAGCTTGACCACTTTTTTGCCATGAGATCTTGAACAAAGTTCTTTATGATCCCTCAGTTTCCTCATCTACAAAACAAAATGGATAGTAGTGAAAATAACTTTTGGTGTTCTTTCAAGGATTAAAACACCTTAGAAGAATGTCTTATACATACTAAATACTTACAAATGTCCACTGCTTCTGATGTCTTCATGCAACCCATAATACTCTTGGTAATAGACACTGAAACAGTGGGTAAAGATACCGATGTATCTAAAGGTGAGCTCAGAGGACCATCCTCTCCAAGCTTTTACTCTTTAACATTTGTAATTGAAGATAAGCATATTGGACTAATTTTCTCTGAACCTTGGGTGCCATTTTTAATATAATTGTTCAAAAATTCAACTATGGTGGCAAATTAAATTGTAATTGATGAAACATACATTCATTAGTGATGAAATTGATGGTGCACTTAAACAGGTTAGTTGAGATGAGTTTAATGAAGGGACTATTTATAAAGAAGGGTGAAATATTCCAATGTTAGTGATGTCCAGGAACTGTTACCATTCTTAGGACTGAAGGACAGCAGGCAAGAAATGAAGAGGAGCAGATCACCCAGACCCAGAGACACCTGGACCTGCAATTGCAGGGAGACTGTTTATGAGGACTTGGGGTCTTCAACAGAAAGCTAAGGAAACAAATACTCTGGACAATCCTTCTCACTTTCAACCTTCTACTGACACCTCTCTTTGAGAAAGGGCAAGGGAATGCATCTGACCGCGCCCATGGAGTTTAGTCTCCTGGGGAGCAGAATGGAATACGGAGGTATGGACAGGCAGAGCCTAGTGATGGAAGGACAGTGGAGAACATCCAGCACACAAGGCCAAACACACATATAATTCCGGTGACCACTTTCATCCTATGTGTCCATTGCTGTGTCTTTCCGAATAGTGCATCATCACTTCTGACTGGTGTTTTAAGGGACTTTATGACATTAGAATATAGAACTGTGAATAAAACTTGGAAATTATCCATGCTGTAATATAAGCAAGTTTCCCAAGAAATGTACCCATCAAAACCATTGTAAGCATCAAAAAACATTTGCCATGAGTTCTCTTCCTGATGATAATAACTATGCTGACAAAAATGATGGGAATTGAAACAATTACTTATTAAGTCTTACTATGGACTGTACCTTTCCATTTGCTCTATACAGAAGGCATCCACATGGTACATATACATGTAGGAAGAGGGTCAAATGATAGTAAGTGATTTGACAGAGCTCACAGGGCCAGAGTAGCAGCCTCGGAGAAAAATGACACCTCACTTTCAGCCCAGCAGCTAGAAAACCAGGTTAGATCCCAAGCAATTAGAGAGAAGGAAATGATAGCTTTAGAGACCCAGATCAATGAAAAAGAAATCAAAGCAGAAAGAAATAGTAGCAATGTTCAACAAAACCAAAGCCTTTTCTAAATGTATCCCTGTGTGTTGGAATAATTTAGCTTTAGGAAAAAGTCACAGAGAGAACATTTTCGTGTACCTCTCACTCAGTTTTTCGTGACATGTGCATCTCCTATAATCATGGTTCAGATTTCACAACTAAGACATCAACATTGGGGCATTGTTATTAACTAAATTCGTGTTCATATGGATTTTAGCAGTTTTTAATTAACATTATGTCAGGGTTTTGAAAAATAAGAAACTAGAAAGACAATGTCAGCAGCTGACCAAGAAGGAAATGATACCCTACAACAATATGTACAGTGGTCTCTGTCCCAGTCCCTGCAAAAACCCCCTAAAGCCCTGGTCATTTCCTCAGTATAGCGGCATTTGAGTACTAAATGTAGTGTCCACTTTGGTTCCTGAGACAGGGCTCTAAATACCCTTGTGGATAGGGACGTTAAGTGAATCTTTGGTCCTAATATTCAGTATTTGACTCCAGCTCCCTACACAGAGATCCTAAAACCATTGTACTGTCCCGAGTGATGCAGGGCCCAACACACAGCACATAACACCCTCAGAATTGCCTGGGTGATAAGAGCATCTTTGGTTCTAATGAGGTGCCTGCTGGTGGGCTCTTGGATGGGATTCATTATCAGAAAGACCAAGCCATGATGCTAAGTGGGGAACTTTCATGCCCCAACTCTTCTCTTTCTAGAGAGAGAGAAGATGGAGGGCTGGAATTGGACTGCATAATCAGCCACACTCTGTGAGTCCTCCTTAACCACCCCTGGCTATGGGGTGTGGGCAGTGTCCCAGGTGAGGAGCCCATCCCGGTGCGGGGGTGGTGGCTGTGGGCACAGAATTTCCTGTGCGCAGGACCTTGCTCGCCTTCTCCTGTGTATCTCTTCACCTGGCTGCTGACCTGTGTCCTTTATTATCTCTTTCATTGATAAACCAGTAAATGTAAGCAGATGCTTCCTTGAATTTTGAGAGATACTCTCACGAATTAATCAAGCCCGAGGGTGTGGTGACCAATCTGTCACCTGTTGCTCAGAAGCACAGCCCCCGCCTGGACTTGAGACTGGCATCTGAACTGGGAAGGGGCACTGAGCCCTGCATCTGCGGGACCTGTGGCTGTCTCCAGGGAGAATGGGTCAGAACTGAATTGAAGGAAAGGCCACTCAGCTGATGTCCACTGGAGGACCACTTTGTGTGTGAGAAACAACCCGCAGACATCTGGTTTCACAAGCACTTTGGTTTTTTCCCACATCAAGTAAATACACATAAGCAATTGTTAAAGGAAATGACCAGCAATGGAGTTTTTTTTAATGCATAAGATAGATATGCTGCATGCTCTGACTGTTGGTCTCTCTCCTTAGCAGGTGGAGCCATGGGACTCATTTCTGCCCCGGAATAGGAGCAGGATCAGTGTGGAATGTGTCAGCATGGATGGTTTTGCCCTGAGCACACCTGCCTCTTCTGAGTCCTCCTGAGTGAGAATGGGGCCTAGAAAGGTGACGCCGAGACTCCAAGGAGCGGTGGCTGTGAGCTTTCTCATCAGAACTGCTAGGACAAATAAATTTATTTACAATTTTTTAAAAATGTATTTGTAGCAAACTAGATGTAAAAAGAAACTTCTGGAAACTGAGAAAAAATATTATCTAATAAAAACATAGCAAACTTCTACTTAAAAGTTTAAAGACATTTTCATTAATATCAGGAGTGAGATAAGGATGAATGTTATTGTCACTGCTACTTAACATTGTTCTAGAAATTCTGACACTATGATAAAGCAAGAAAAAGAAATATGATAAATGATACTTAGGAATAGGCAAAATAGTCATTATTTCCAATACTGGGAATATATTTACATACAAAATGAAAAAAATCTATGGTTATTAAAATGTATGAGAATTCAGTGAGTTTTCTGAATATAAAATCAATTACATTCCTGTAACCAACCACTCAGTTTTGGGACAACTGAATTATCATGTAGGAAAAAAATCAAATTAAATGTGTAAATTATTCACGTCAAAAAATGAATCCCAGATTGATTAGAATGTGGAAACAAAAGGAATTAGAATCTGGAAACAAAGGGAACAAAACTTTAAGTCTATCAGAAAAATATGCAAAAATAACCAGCCTTGTAAACTCAAAGTAAGGAAAGATTTTCATGCGTTACCCCAAAAGCTCAAGCCATAAAGGGGAAGTTCAGTACGTCGACTTCTGTCCACTACGTCTGTCACTGTTACTAATTACAACAACAAAAGAGAGTGGACAAGTCCCAGACAAGGAGCAGGTAGAATACGCAAAACTATCCAACAATTGGCATCGGAAAAGATAAATAACTTTCAAGCCACATGGTAAAGAGAACCCACTGGAAAAATAGGAGGCAATTACGATTTTATGAAAGAAACCAAACTAGCAAATAAATTTACGAAAAGACAACGCAAAAATGTAGAGAGGATGGTGTAACCCACAACCAGAATTTTTATAGTGTCAACCCTCTGTCCTGGTAGCTTTAGAGCAAAGAAACTATCTAGTGCTACCTGGCTCCCAGACCCACCTGTGGGCCCTATCAGTCATGCTCCAGCCTACACTTTTATGCATCCGTCTTATATATAAACACTGTTGTGCTGTTTTTAGAATATGGAAGTATTTTGTTTTTAAGATAAAAATAAAAGTGGTGAGCACCAGGCTTTCCACCCTGGATGGGGCTGACTTTCAAACCCACGCTTCCCCAAGAGTGGCTATGTGCCACTTCCTAAACTGTGGCAATGTCTAGGGAATGTCAGTTCTGGGCCACTGGCTCAGTGCAGAACTCTGGAGCCTTCTTGGTTGGTCTGGGCAGGTGGGAATCAGGGCTTCTGACAGCCAACAACTGGTGATCAACTTATAACACTCAGCTGAACTGAGTAAGCGTGGTGCTGGGTGTTCGAGGCCCACCTAGGGACTATTGCCAGCAGCATAAGAGGCCGTTGGGAACTGAGGAAGGCTGTTGGGAGCTGGTAGAAGCTGTAAGGAGCTGTTGGTTGTTTTGGAGGAGCTCATCATGCTGGCTTTCCTGATGAACTTGGCTATTTTCATCCTCTGAGGAGTTCGGGACCTTGATGGCACTGAGAATGGCTTCGGTTCACCTTGGGGAAGCTCTGGTCCTCACTTTGAGCATCACTTCCTGGCTCCAGAGGGAAAGATGGTACACAGCTCAGTCTTCTCCACATTGGCTTTCCTGATTGAAACTCAGCTGTCTTTACCATTGGAGGAGGTTGGGACCTCACTGTTGCTGAGGATGGCTGTGGTACTTTTTGGGGGAGCTGTGGTTCTTACCTTGCACATCACTTCCTGGCTCCAGTGCAGATCCCTCAGTCTGCTAGCACAGATCCTTCATCCTGCTGGCACAGACTCGCTAGATTCCTCCACTGACCTTTGGGCCTTCCCAGTGCAGATCTGGGGAAAAGGCCTGCATGAGATATTGTTATGGGCTCTGGGCCTCCAGTTGGACTCGTGGGAGGCATTGTTATGGGCTCTAGGTCTTCAGCTGGACTCATGCAGGACATTTCCATGGGATCCAGGCCCTCACCTAGATTCCTTGGTCTTCGTATGTGGACAGATTTCCTGCACTCTTTTGTATATCATTCTTTGGGTG